ATATATATATATATATATATATATATATATATATATATATATATATATATATATATATATGCGTTTATGATCACATTTAAAGTCATAAAACTATATGAAGTCTTCAGGTGAGATATTTGCCATATCTTTTTTTCATAAATCCGCCATAAAAACGAAGATAAAAAAATCATCGAATTTGGATGATTTTTCGATTTTCTAGAGCCAAAAAACGAGGGGGACCGCAAAAGTATAAAATTAGCGGTGTTTTACTTGGCAAAATTTTGATAATAATTTTGTAGAGGCTTCTTATTTTATCCAAGTAGTACTAGAATCTATTATACGGGAGAGAAATCGCAGTTTAAATACTACGATGTTCGCTAAATATTAGGTAAGTTACTAAGAATTAGAGTTAGAGACGAGTACATCCTGCAGCGAATCTCTGTGAAATGTGATAAGTCTTATATTTCTTTATAAGTATTTAATGTAGGATATAATGTAAAAACTATTTGTAATTACGTATAGTGTTATCTTACCTTAAGATGGCAATTGGACCGTTTCCTTTACAGCACGCACTAATTGCTGGACATGATATAGCCTTCCCACGAGAAATGCGTAGGTTTTTTAAAAACATTTGTAAAACATTTTTGTATAAGATTTTTTAGTAGCAATGTAAAAAAAGACTATATGCACATTTTATAACATTTTTTTCAGTTACTTTAACATGACACAGATGGATTTTATACAGATGTAGTAATTTCTCTTTAAATTTTACTTACATATTTAATAAGTTTCTGTGTATGTTTAGTCACCCTATGACGTCGATTTAACATCTGTCGAAATTTATTAAAAAACCTACAAGACTGGTGTAAATTCATAGACAAACCAAGAAACCCTCTTTTATACTGCTCTGTTTCGTATAGTGAGTGCGGAGAACCGGAGACCATTATTACTTGTAACGAGCGATTAATTCAATCAAGTCCTCAGGAGTGACAACGCATACCTAAGTATTGTGATTTGATGGAGGATAAATGTTGGTGTATATGAGCCAGAGGATTCACTAATCATCAGGTGGACTGTGTTCGTTTGCCACCATCACTTCTAAAAAAAATGAGTCAATTGACATGCACAATTTAAAAGATTTGTACACTTAGAGTTACCATATTGAGCAGGCGTTTAGTTGTGTACGAAGATACCTTCGCATTAGTTATGACTTCCAAATGATTTTTGAATTGAAAAGCGAATGAAACTATTATCTTATATTTCTTACGCAAGACAAAATGCTCATTTTCGCTGTGTAGTGGCGGCGTTAGTATATCCAAAACCCCTATAACTTCGTGGGTGTCGTAAAAAGCGACAGAGGGATACTAAAATAGATGGCCAGGCGGCACCAGGGCGACGTCACTGGTGTGAAATGTTTAGAAAAGTGTAGTGATTAATGTTTCTTTCCAAAATATTAGTTTAAATTTTTATATTAATTAGATTAGAAATGGATAAACTAAAGTGTACCTTAAAGTAGAAGAATTAAATGAAAGTCAGCTTATTCGTGGCCAGCCATGCTGCAGTTATATTAGTAGTACTATAGTTGTGGCACGAATGGCTCGGTTCGACCGGGGAAGGACCACGCCCTCACAGAAAATCAGCGTAAAATAGTAGCTTAATGCTGCTGTGTTACGTATGGTTAGATATCTATTATTATTTATATTATATCTATTATATATATATATTGAAATAGATTGAATGAAAATGTTTCTAGTGTATCTACTTGTGTATGTATATACAAAACATTGCTCTCAGTGCTTTATTTTTTTATACATTTATAATTTTTTTTATTAGGGTGACAAACGAGCACACAGTCCACCTGATGGTAAGTGGCTAAATTTATCCTCGATTACGAAGCAAAACGCAGATACGTTGCCACCCGTGAGGACTGAGATGGAATGCCTCGTTTCCAGTAAAAAGTATCACCGGTTCTCTACACTAACCATACGTAACACAGCAGCATTAAGCTACTATTTTACGCTGATTTTCTGTGAGGGCGTGGTCCTTCCCCGGTCGAACCGAGCCATTCGTGCCACAACTATAGTACTACTAATATAACTGCAGCATGGCTGGCCACGAATAAGCTGACTTTCATTTAATTCTTCTACTTTAAGGTACACTTTAGTTTATCCATTTCTAATCTAATTAATATAAAAATTTAAACTAATATTTTGGAAAGAAACATTAATCACTACACTTTTCTAAACATTTCACACCAGTGACGCCGCCCTGGTGCCGCCTGGCCATCTATTTTAGTATCCCTCTGTCGCTTTTTACGACACCCACGAATTTATAGGGGTTTTGGATATACTAACGCCGCCACTACACAGCGAAAATGAGCATTTTGACTTGCATAAGAAATATAAGATAATAGTTTCATTCGCTTTTCAATTCAAAAATCATTTGGAAGTCATAACTAATGCGAAGGTATCTTCGTACACAACTAAACGCCCGCTCAATATGGTAACTCTAAGTGTACAAATCTTTTAAATTGTGCATGTCAATTGACTCATTTTTTTTTAGAAGTGATGGTGGCAAACGAACACAGTCCACCTGATGATTAGTGAATCCTCTGGCTCATATACACCAACATTTATCCTCCATCAAATCACAATACTTAGGTATGCGTTGTCACTCCTGAGGACTTGATTGAATTAATCGCTCGTTACAAGTAATAATGGTCTCCGGTTCTCCGCACTCACTATACGAAACAGAGCAGTATAAAAGAGGGTTTCTTGGTTTGTCTATGAATTTACACCAGTTTTGTAGGTTTTTTAATAAATTTCGACAGATGTTAAATCGACGTCAAAGGTTGACTAAACATACACAGAAACTTATTAAATATGTAAGTAAAATTTAAAGAGAAATTACTACATCTGTATAAAATCCATCTGTGTCATGTTAAAGTAACCGAAAAAATGTCATAAAATGTGCATATAGTCTTTTTTTACATTGTAAAGGCTACTAAAAAATCTTATACAAAAATGTTTTACAAATGTTTTTAAAAAATCTACGCATTTCTCATGGGAAGGCTATATCATGTCCAGCAATTAGTGCGTGCTGTAAAGGAAACGGTCCAATTGCCATCTTAAGGTAAGATAACACTATACATAATTTTAAATAGTTTTTACATTATATCCTACATTAAATACTTATAAAGGAATATAAGACTTATCACATTTCACAGAGATTCGCTGCAGGATGTACGCGTCTCTAACTCTAATTCTTAGTAACTTACCTAATATTTAGCGAACATCGTAGTATTTAAACTGCGATTTCTCTCCCGTATAATAGATTCTAGTACTACTTGGATAAAATAAGAAGCCTCTACAAAATTATTATCAAAATTTTGCCAAGTAAAACACCGATAATTTTATACTTTTGCGGTCCCCTCGTTTTTTGGCTCTAGAAAATCGAAAAATCATCCAAATTCGATGATTTTTTTATCTTCGTTTTTATGGCGGATTTACGAAAAAAAGATATGGAAAATATCTCACCTGAAGACTTCATATAGTTTTATGACTTTAAATGTGATCATAAACGCACTTCTTCGAAAATAATCGCTTATAACTTTTTTGCAAAGCATTAAACGAAATTTGTACATATTTTTTTGTAAAACGAACATTTAAAAAAACATTTAAAAATGTTTGTTTATTAATTTTTTATCTCACATAAAGTTTTTATATCGTTTTCTGACTTTAAATGTTATCATAAACGCTCTAGAAAATCGAAATAATTAATATTAAAGTTAATATTTTGATGTTTTATTGAGTGTAAGATCAAACAAAGCGAGCTCGGGACTTAGGGCATCCCGACTCTCAGAAGGAGATGGCGGAGTTTATAAAAAAATAACCACGAAGGCGATGGCGGGGTCTATTCGCTCGCTCACTCGACCCCGCCATCTCCTTCGTGGTTATTTTTTCATAAACCACTCAGAAGTAGGCGTTGAGTGGCGTGGTGTTTCCCTCCCCCAACTCTCTCCCGTAGCGTAGTCGAGGGAAGCTCGGTTAGCTAAGTCCCGCTTCACGGGACTCCTACTTCTGCGTGGTTTATAGAAAAATAACCACAAATCAGATTGCGGGGTTTATTCACTCGCTTCGCTCGCTCAATCGACCCCACCATCTCCTTCTAACCTAACCTGTCCAAGTCGGGATGCCCTAAGTCCCGAGCTCGCTTGGCTCGATCTTACATGAGTGATTTCAAAATTGAATTATAAAAAAATTAACAACTTTATTCGATTAATTAAAAAAAGAGTTATGAACAATTATTATTACACGTGAATTTCATGAACATTTAAACCCTGAAACCAATATAATTTAAACTTTTTTATCCTATTTTATCGATACGCAAAACTAAAAAAGTATCTTTTTTGAAAAAAAAGTTGCGATAGTATAAAATTACCAAAACACCTTTACATAAAAGTTCCCTGTCTCATACTAATGTATAATAACATCCCCTATACCGTGTAGTCGTGGTGTAAGAATATATCCGCTACCCCATATCATCCCGTAGGTGTTGTAAGAGACATAGGAAAACAAATCAGAAGAAGGGCATCAGCGTCTTCCTAATGACGACTGAAAATAAAAAACTGCGGTTTTCAACCCGCTTGCCAAGTGTGGCAACTATGGCAAATATCCCTTCTATGAGGCAATGTATGGGGGAGGTCTATGTCCAGCAGTGGATTTTAATAGTAACGGTAACTATAACAACCTTATTAATATTAACTGTAAATGGCATACAATGGCATCAAAGCTCCTTTTATTCCATCAACCAAATCAAATGGCAAAACAAAAAATGTCATTTTGTGAAATCGATTATTTACACTTTGATCTTACAGACCAGAAATAGTGATTGAAGAACGAAGATGGTGTCCTTACCCCTTAATCATACGCCATTACATTAAAAAGCCAGAACCCGAAAAGACAAACATATTTAAACGATGGTACAGAAAACGGCGGGCAGAATACAAACAAAAAGAAGCTATGATAAAAGAAGAACGGAAACGTCTAGAAGAAAAAGAACGCTTAGAAAGAGAACGATGCATAACAGAGTTGCGTCGACTGCACTCGTATCATCAATCTCTATGCAATAGGACAAACTCTTTACCAGAAATAAGCAAAAACACGAAGAAGATTAATAAAAGTAAACTTTTAAGTAAAGTTGAGCCTTCAAATGAAGCTAAACCTTATAGTAAAGCTAAATCTTCAAGTAAAGCTAAGCCTTCAAGGAAATCTGAACCTTCAAGTAAAGTCACGCCTTTAAGTAAACCTGAACCTTCAAGTAAAGCTAAATCTTCTAGTAAAGCTGAACGTCCTAGTAAAGCTGAAACAAGTAAAGTTAAGCGGAAATCGCGCTCTGTAAATGCAAACACATAGTAAGTTTTGGTTCTTTTTATCTTTTTCATCGGTCCGTAAAAACCCACAGGTGAATGTGGGCTTCTTCTGTTGTTGAGATAATTTGCTGTGATTTAAAAGTAGCAAGTGGATTAGTGATCGCAATATCAGGCGTCTCGCACCTTTAAGTCTGCATTTTTTATATAATAAAGGTGATAAACGAGCACACAGTCCACCTGATGGTAAACAAATGCTGTGGCCATAAACATCTACATATATCCTCAATTAAGAGTCAATTTGCAGATGCGTTGTCACCCCTTTTTTTTTTTTTGCGGATGGAAAATCATCTAATGACCCCTTTCGCTCTGGGTGGAGCGTAAGGGAGTGTCAGACTTTTACTGACTAAAAACCATCCGTGTTCCTTCAGTGCCCTTACGTTCCGGAGCCCACCACCTCCCATGGCCCCACCGACCCTCAGGTCATACGGGCCTAATCTCGGGAGATGCGCGCGGTACTTGCACCTTGCTCTTTCCCGCGCGCACTTTCTTGACTCCCTACAAATATTTATTCTGTTCCTTGTCCCAGTTTAACGTCATTCTCCCCCTTCTGGGGCTGACGGCACAACAACGCCTACGTCGTCGGGCCTTCCTACCAGCATCCTTTCCTGCCTTCTCCTGCGATCGTGCCACCTATGCGCAAACTCACGAAACAGCCCGTAGTTCACCCCATCGCTGACGAGATCCGAGTAGTAAATCGGTCCCTGAACCGTTCGAACCAGCCCATCCAACACTTTCGCTCTTAGATCGTCATACAGAGGACATTCCCATAGGACATGGTGAACATCCTCCTCTGCCGTACCACACTCACACATACTGGTTTCACACAGTCGCATGTCATGCAGTCTCTTCCGAAAACATCCATGTCCAGTGAGAATCTGGGATGTTTGATAGTCCGGTGAGACCCAGGTATACCTGAGTCTCACCGCCACCTCCGGGAAAAATCGATATAACTCACGTCCTTTCGTTTCGTTTTTCCATCGATTCTGCCATACGCAAATCACCTCAGTCCAGATATCGCGCTTTCGTCTGCTCAACTCCTCTCTGGGCGCGGTCAAGCGTTCCAAACCCATCCTACCAGCACGAATGACCTCCAGGTCAGCAGGGAGGACGCCAGCCAGCACCGGTAAGGCCGCCGTGCTAGTGGACCGGTACGCCTTGGTCAGCAAGACAAGTGCAGATCGTTGCGATCTCAGTAGTACGCTGCGGACTGTGTACATGTTTGCCCGCTCGTACCAGCACTCTGCTGCATACGTGAGCGTGGACACAAACACTCCTCTGTAAATAATTTTTAAACTCGGGTATCGCATACCCCATGACGATGTCGATACGCGAGTCATTTTGCCAACGTTCCGGAGCCGCGGTATCTCTTTCGAACAGCCCGCAGCCCCGGCAGGCGTCGGCCCTTGCGGGCCCCTTCACGCTGCTGACAGCTCTTTGAGGCGCGCGTGGAACAAAACGCGCCGTCGACACGGCCTGTCGTCATTAGACGGACGGACGACGAGCTACCCATTGCTCGCCGTCCACAGGCCCGCGCCTACGGTGGCCGGGGGCCACGACGTAGCCCCCGACGCCCGGGGCGTCTCCCGCGGCGGCCGGGGGAGGAAAGCTGCTGCTCTCTCCCGCTCCGCCACCTCCTTCGCCAGCATCACTGCTTCGCAGAAGGTGGTGACGGCATCCCATTCCGTCTCGCTCCGGACCATGGCTGCGACCAGGGCCGGACGCGAGAGGTCGCCGCCGCCTATCGCCGCTACGAGGACCCGGCGGTGCTCCGCCCAAGCAGGGCACACCTCCACGGTGTGTTCCACCGTGTCCTCCGGTCCATCCTCGCAGTGGGAGCACCCGGGCGTTTCCTCCCGCCCGATTCGGTGCAGGAACCTCCCAAACACACCGTGTCCGGTGAGGACCTGCGTCAGGCGGAAGGTGAAGATGCCGTGGCGTCTCTCAAGCCACTCCTCAAAGAGGGGTCTTATCGCCGCTATAGTGGCGTGCCCAGCACGGGGTTGCGACAGTCGCTGTCTCCATGTCGCCATGAGATCGTGCCGGAAGTCTGTCCGCTGCGCGACAACTTGCCGCGGCAGCGGGGTTTCCCCACGGCATAGTGCCTCCGCACGCCATTCGTGCAGGCGCGCGAGGACTATCGCCTCCAGATCCCATGGCGGCAATCCGGCAAGGAGGCTCGCCGCCTCGCGGGAGATCGTGCGGTAGCCGCGAACCATTTTCACGGCTATCACCCTTTGGGGCGCGTTCAGGTGGTGGACGGCAAGCCGCGCCAAACCACGCGCCCACACCGGGGCCCCGTAAAGGGCCATGGACCGCACGATCCCCGCGTAGAGCCTCCGGCAGGAGGCGTTTGGCCCTCCCAGGTTCGGCAGGAGCCGCCTGAAGGCAGCCCCGGTCCGTTCCAGTTTGGGAGCCAAACGTCGGAAGTGCTCAACGAAGTTCCATCGGCCGTCGAGGACGAGTCCTAGGTACTTCAGCGTCGACTCGACGTCGATGGATACCCCTCCTACCATCACTGAGGATCCCGGTGGTGGCCTGTTCCGAGGACCATGGAAGTGCATGGCCTCGGACTTGTGCAGAGCCACCTCGAGACCCAGTTGCCGAATCCTCTCAACGACTATCGCAACCCCGCGTGTCATATTTTCCGCCGCCGCCTCGTACGACCCCCCTTGTGCCAGTACCAGCGTGGCGTCGTCACCTCTGAGGACTGAGATGGAATGCCTCGTTTCCACAAAAAGTGGTTAGGTTCTCTACATTCAACATACGACACACAGTAGCATTATGCTGAATTTTACACGCTGCATTCTACTTCTACGCGAGCATACACAGCAGCATTAAGCTGCTTTTTTACACCGGTATTCTGTGAGAGCGTGGTTGCACCTCGGTAAAAGGAATTCGTAAAACGTGATCACGGTAGGAATGTAAACACGATATCCATCGCCAGCGCCACATAGCTTGAACAATAAGTTTATTCCGTCATCTTACGAGACTCACTGGACTACAGCGGTTTACGGCCCGACAACAACGTTAGTATCAACTTGATTCTGAAACTGTCACTTTAAATTGGAATTTAAAATAAATTGTAAATATTCACTCAATAAACTAGATTAAATTAAAGGATATAATAGAATATGTTTAACATTAAAAATTACGAAAATTTATTGGATATATTTCGAAAGAACGTGTGCAGGAATAACATGACTTAATTTCTCCTTTTCCATTCCATCATCGACACCCAGACACTCAGCTGTGGTTTACCTATTTATTGTAGATGCACCACATATTCGAACCAAACGGTTTGCTTCGTCGTACAAAAAGTGTATAGCAAAGGAGTAGAATCAAATCTTACGTATGCCATGTTCCTGCAAAACATAAAGAGACAATTCTCGCTCTCGATTCAGGAAATCGCCAAGGAAAAAAGTTCCTAAATGGTGTCATGTCATATTTTTGTTTTTATAGGTATATATTTTTGATTAAGATTTTTTAATAGAAGAGGGGACAATGTGTCTCACCTGATTTTGACTACCGCCGCACATGAACAACTACAACACTAGGGAAATTGCATCATCGGCAGATACAATATTATGCTCAACACACACGGTCAGTTAAACTGATCAGTTGAACTGGCGTACATCCAAAAGCTGACCGTGTGAGTGATATCTTAAGTTGAAATTTTTAACTGACGGCAGTCCACGGATTTTTCCGAGCCCACGGTTAGTCAAGCTGATCATTTGAACTGACGTACACAGGCTGCACTAAAATTATCAAGAATGGAATATTTCCACTGTTCCTGTCATATTAAAATCTTTTTAATTGAAAACTCCTTGTTTTAAAAATCGAATACCATTTATTTATTTAAAAAAAGATTTTCGGTCTTGTCACAAGGTTTTGTCAAACTTGTTTAGTCGTTGAGAAAATGGAATTGACTCGAGAAAATTCAAGAGCGATGACTTATTATGACTTTCGGAGTGGTTTAACACAAAAACAGTGTGTTGACCGGATGATTTCTGCATTTGGTGATGAAGCCCCATCCAAAACCACAATTTACTGCTGGTTTGCTGAATTTCAACGTGGACGTGTCAAGCTCAGTGATGATCCACGTCAAGGTCATCCAAAAACTGCAGTCACCCAAGAAAACATTGATGCTGTGCGTAAGCTGATTGAGAAAGATCGACATGTGACATACCGCGAAATTCAGGCAACTTTAGACATTGGCATGAGTGTAAAAAAGTTGTTTTCCCGATGGATACCGCATTCGCTCTGTAAAAAGCAAAAAGCGGCTCGCTTTACTTGGTGCGTCAGAACTCTCGAAAGATTCCACGCAGGATCCTCAAAAGCTGTATACAACATCGTATCAGGTGACGAATCCTGGATATACGTGTACGAACCCGAAACAAAAAACTAGTCACGAGTTTGGGTGTTCGAAAATGAGTTAAAGCCAACAAAAATTGTTCGTTCACGGAGTGTTGCAAAAAAAATGGTGGCCACGTTTGTCTCCAAAACCAGCCACGTTACGACTATTCCTCTTGAGGGACAAAGAACGGTTAATGCAGAATGGTATGCTAGCATTTATTTGCCACAGGTCGTTTCTGAACTCCGTAAAGAGAACTGCAACCGCCGCATCATCCTCCATCACGACAATGCGAATTCTCACACCACACACAGAACAAAAGAGATTTTGGAGCAAGAAAACATAGAATTATTAGACCATCCGCCGTACAGCCCCCACCTAAGCCCTAATGATTTCTATACTTTCCCTAAAATAAAGAATAAATTGCGTGGACAGAGATTTTCATCACTTGAAGAAGCTGTGGACGCCTACAAAACGACCATTTTGGAGACCCCAACTTCCGAATGGAATGGTTGCTTCAATGATTGGTTCCATCGTATGGAAAATGTGTCAAATTTCGCGGAGAATACTTCGAAAAGCAATAAATACATTTTTAAATAGTAATGTTGTGTCACTTCCTTGATTCCCGAAAT